CGGCGAGCCCCGGCCGCCCTGCAGCCAGCAACCCGCTCGGCCCCGGGGCTCTTAGACCGCGCTTTCTTTAAGCGCGGTTGCGGGGCTCCGTACCAGGGGAATGGGTCATGTCTGCAAGCGTGACTTTAGCAAGGTAGATCCCAACGCCTCCCTCCTTGTTTTGCTAGCCAGTGCTTTTCGTTTTCAGGCGCTCACCCTCCTTTTGTACTTGCAAGCTAACTAAATAGATCCCAGGATGAGCCATTACATATTCTTTCCAGCAATCCTCTTAACCATAAAAACCACAATTAACAACGTTATCCGTGTTTCATGTTCTCTAACATACTGCATATGTAGAATATTTTCCTGCAGAGTACTGCCGTGTGTCAAAAATGCCACTTTTTTACCCCTGTTTAAACCACTCACACGTGTGAACAGTGACAAACACAAACATGATAGCATTGCTCTCATTTCTGCAGAAACTTTAATTTATTTGGCAACTAAATCTGTTAGAGGAAAAAGGATCAGAGACGATGTAAAAAAAAAAAAAATCACCAAGTGAATTGATTGAACAGCAAACTTCATACAACAGCTACCACTATTTTGCATTATTGCTAGTAGTGGCATTTTAAATAAACAACCAGTAAAGAGATTATCCCACTGTAGTCAAGTAAGTGTAGGTTATAGAACAATCAGTTCTTAAAGTAAATTGCTGTAAACGGCAAGTTACATCTTTTAAGGCAATATACCTCCTTGCTGAAGGCATTACACGTGTTCCCTTTTTAATGCTATAGAGAATTAAACATAGTCCAAAACTTTCTTTTGTCTTCCAGCTGGCAGCAGCAATCTTCCCAATAAATTTACCGATGAACTCTACTTGTGGCAAATACCCATGGAGTATAGTCCATAAAGTACACGCACTTCCCTCAATTGCTTTTTCCTCTAGAAATGTCTGTTGATTTTTGTGTACACCAGGAATTGGAAAATGGTGGCAATTCATTACTAATACATTTTAAGTTTTATCTCCTGTAAACATTGCAACAAAAGGGTAACCTGGCTCACTAGAAAAACCTTAGTTTTTCCTCATTGTTAGAACTTACCTTTATGGGAGAAAATTGGTTATTTACACGTAACTCAATGATCTGACTTTATATTATTAAGGCTGGAATGATAATGAACTCTGCTCGCAATAATAATTACAATGCCGTCAGAAACAGTTACCAAACTACCAGAATTGGACAGAATACCTTTTTTTTCCCCCCCTTTTTTTTTCCCCCCAGTGAGTTATTGTACCTGGCTAATTTCTCTAACAGTAGTAAAACCACGAATGTCCTTGTTAGTGGCTTGCACTAAACTGAGGTGTACACGTGTGAAAATTATTTGGCTGTTTAACTTCTTGCCTTTTGATGTTGCCTGCATGGAGGGGACCCCAGCGGAGCAGCCTGCCGGGGATGCCCGGTGGGTGCCGGGCCCGGGGCGCTCTCTGCCCCGTTCCCGCTCCTGGGCCTGGGCCTGAGCCTGAGCCTGGAGATCCCAGGC